ATAACAAATATTAAAACTACTTCGTGTAATATGAAAATGTTTCCTTTTGTTTTTGCAGACAAATATGGAAATGCAACATCTTTTCATGGATTCAATTGCAACTTTCCTTTGACATCTAATGACCTGGAAGTGACATGAACTTGTTCAGCTTGTCTTTTAGGGCCTCAGGACTGTTAGAATAGCAATGCGACCACAAGAACGATCTTCCACATCCAGCCCTGCACACCAAAGGCCCGGGCACACTCCTTCATGTCCAGGCTTCCGGTTAGAAGCTTGGTTAAGGTTGAACTCCAGAGAGTCCGCAGGAGACTGACCCAGCGCCGGTCTCCATCGCCAGCCTCTCGCCTGACCCTCTCCTGCAGGACATCGTAAAAGTCGGGCAGAAGGCAGAGCTGGCAGTCCGACCTGCGAGAACCCATGTCATAATCAACCATGAACGCCAGACCACTGTTAATAGGCAAATTGGCTGATCAACCCATATAGCCTACTGTCAGTCGCATCAGGACACGCTCTATGCTCAGTGTGCTCCATCCACACCAGCATACAGTCAGGGAACGACACGACAGGGTGAAACAGCTCATGGATGTTGCAAATTGTCATCGTGATTCCTTCCGAATTACCCTTATCCCACTGCGCGGGGAGACAGCAGCCAAGACACGCGGCAGAATTGCCATGGACACCGTGTGCCAAGCGGTTGCGCTGCTTTCTGGACGCGTAGCGCGTGTGCTGGGACATCCACTAGGAGAGCCCAGTGGGGGCCATGGGAAGCCCGCAGAAGTGCATCAACTTGGTGCGTCTTAGGCGCAGTTTACCTACCCAAGGTGTCCATCAAACTTCCAGCCCATATAGGATCTCTAGAATTTGTATCAAACAAAAACACCGCCTGGTTTTGACGTCATCTATTACTTAAGTCAGGACGTCATGACTACTTACGACGACGACTCATTAAGGCCTCATGATGTTCAAGTCGTAAATGACATCATGCATACTTATAACCCTACTTCTAACTACCCATGAACCTCCAAGTACTCCTTTAAAGTTTAGGGTTAAGGGTCTATGAATTTGGGGTTTAGGGTATATTTGTGGAGTTGGGGTTGGGGTTTTGATGTTCAGGGTTCCTATGGAGGAAGGCCCTTGAAGATGAATTGATGCTTCGCTTAAGAACCCAAAGCGTATCTTTGTGTAGACTACCCAAACCAAAAAGTATGTAACAACCTGGAAAAACATTTTTTGGTTCTGAAAGGCAGGCCCTTGCACAAATTGAGACGCTCCCTTTCTCGGCCTTGCTTGAGTTTACAAAACCATGCGCAAACCAGATCATGTACACCACCTCCAACACTCTGAGGTTCTTTGGTCGGTATACGTAGGGCGATTAGTATGGTAACTACACTTGTAACCCTATTCAGGGTACTTATAACCCTACTTATAACTACCCAAAAACCACCGGCAATGTCAAGGGTGAGGCATCCTGATGCCCGTGCTCCGCAGCGAGGAGCACGGCCTCAGACTTGGTAAAAGCCACACGGAGTGCCCTAAACCCCAAACCCTGAGCCTTAAAATCCTAAACCCTAAACCTCAATTAAAAAACCCTAAACCCTAAACCCTAAACCCTAAACCTTACACCCTAAACCCTAAACCCAATGAGGATCCCCATTCGCAGCTGTGGGCTGTAAAGTGGGAAGGGAGCAGGCTTCCCGAAGGGTTCAACCCGTAAGAGCTGACAGGCTGACGAACTAGCAGGGCCCCATTTGCAGGTTTCCGAAATTAGCGGGGTTTCGGGTTTAGGGTTTAGGGTTTTAGGTTTTAGGGTTTTAGAGTCTTGGTTTAGGGTTTAGGGGTACCTTTTGGCTCCTTATTATTAGGGAGTCCTACTATTTGGGGATCTATATTTGGGGTTCCTTACTTTCGCAAACTCCCATTGCTGCTGCGTTGACGTGTAAGGGTTAGGGGTTTCGGGTTGAAGGGTTTAAGGAGGGGGCTGAGGATTTAGCTTTGGAGGGCGTAGGCTTGAGAGTTTAGGCGCCTAGCGGCGATTCGGGTTTAGGTTCAGAGGGTTCAGCATTGGATGCAGAATCGTTTTGACACTCCGACGCTTGGTCTCCAGATGGGGTTGTTCCGCGTTAGGATCCCTTCAATGGCTACACATTACAAACACCCTGTATAGCAGCATTCCCAAAACCTAAGCACTACTTCTTGTTTAACAGCTACTCCCTCCCCCGTCGTCCCCCCCACCTCCTTCAAACGGAGGTCCTAATGCGGAACAACCCTCCCAGAAATTGTGCAGGGCAGCTGGACCACACGCTTAGGTTCTGGGGGCACCCGAGATGGACTCGGTTCTAGACGCAGATGTGAACACGAGAGACGAGAGCCACTATGGAGTCTAGGGTTTACTCGGAAGCCCTTTTGACATAATAAGTCTACTTCGCATCCCCTAGCATCCCTTTAAGAATCCCCATAACCCTCCGTTCCTAACCCTAGGTCAAAAGGGCTTCCGAGCAAGGGTTTACTTGGAGGTTCATGGTACTTACTAGCCAATCTTAACTGTGCTTATAGCTGTCCTTATAACCATATTCAGGCACTTAAGGGGCTCATAAGTGGGTTGTAAGTCCAGGTATAATTGGTAAATAAGTAAACTGGCCCTCCAAGTAGGGGCCTAAAGTGCGGTCTCGAGCTATCTGGGCCGAGGCAGAGCTTGGGCGTCGAGATTCCTCTCCATCAGGAGCCTCGGTTGCTCTTCAAGACTGACGAAGGGTTTAGGGTTTAGGGTTTAGGGTTCCTGAGCCGCTAAACCGCCTGAAGCCCTTAACCGGCGCAAACCCGAAACCCCGAGGCCCTCCACCCCAAAACCATACGACGCGAAAACCCGAAATCCGAGCTCTCTACACCCTAAACCCTAAACCCTTAACTGCTTTCTTTGATGTAGTGAGTAAGGCTTGTAAAGCAGGGTTATGGGGACTATTAAAGGGCCCCGGGTTTCTAGGGATACTGAGTAGACTTCCTAAGTCAACAGGGCTTCCAAGTAAGGGCACCTTTTTGGGGGGTCGGTTACTGTATGAGGGAACCTAGAACCGAAAAAGGGCAAAAGGGCCACCACCAGGCAATCAAGATGTAGAGCCCTTGGCGGGTTTAGGGTTTAGGCTTTCTATTCTGGGTGTTTCCCGAATAGGGGTACCCCTGTTATACCCCACCTAGAATAGAATCCCCTCAAGGGGACCCCCAAAAAGGGTATCCCTATTTTCGGAACCCCCCCCCCCATACTATGGGGCCTCCAGAGTTTGCGGGGGTTTGGGGTTTCGACCTTCAGGGTTGAGCATCTTGAGAGCTTCTGATTTAGGGTTTAGGGTTTAGGCTTTAGGGTTCAAGGGCTCCAGGTTCCAATGGGCTTGCGGACTTCGGGGGCGCAGGGAGGGCTTTAGGATTTAGGATTTCTTTACAGTTTTTTGTTGAAGGCTTTGGGGTGCAAGGGCCTCAGGGTTTACGGCGGCTTCAGGGTTACCTTGTTAGGGTTCAGAGTCGCGGGTGTACAGTAGGGTTCAGGGCGTTGGATTTCAGGGTTTGGGGGTTTCGGGCTGTAGTTTCCCGACCGCCCAGGAGAGGACAAACTGGACTTTGTAGGGGATCCTAACCCTAAGCAGAAGGGGAAACCCAGCTTTAGGTCTTGGATTCTTCGGGTTGAGGGTTTAGGGTTGGCACTGTTGGGATCAAACCCCAATAGCCGCGTCCAGGCGGTCAAGAAGCTTGGGGGCATAAGTTGTGAGGAAGCGGCCTCACCGGCTGAGGGTGAACCCTCGCCCTGCAATCGGAGCCAATGCTGAACCCTAAACCCCAAGTCCTGAAAGATATGGGGGCATTTCTAAGCCGTAATTGATGTAAAATACCAAACCTAGAAGCTTCAACCCCTGAAGCCCACAACTGCCCTAAACCCTAAACCCTAAACCCCAAACCCTAAACCCCAAAACAGAGGTCCCAGGAGCTGATAGAGCTGCTGGGCCACCTTTGCCCATCGCGCCTGCCCTTGACGCGCCTCCTCTAACTGGGACCCCAAGTCCTCCGGTGCGGATTTAAGGTCTTACTTAGAGGTTCATGGGTTGTTCTGAGTACGGTATAAGTATGGTAGCTATACCTATAACCCTACTTAGGGTACTTGTAACCCTACTTACAAGTACCCATGAACCTCCAAGTAGGGTTTGGGGTCTTAGGGTTCAGGGCCCATAGGGCTTCGGGGTTTGGGCTTCAGGTAGCTTAGGGGTTCTGCATACTCTTTGAGTAGAGCTCAAAAAACCCTGTACTTAGGAACAGCTTCAGGCGTGTAGCTTTCCCTCTGCTACCCTTGTATGCCCCTAAAAGAAGGCCTCTGTTTGGCAGGTGACCTCTAATCTCCCCGGCTAAGTGGTCCTTAGCCTGTCCCTCATATTCTGGCACATCTGAAGCAAAAGTTCTCCGTCGCGAGGTCTTGAGGGTAGCTTTGGGCTCATTAAGGAGTTGCGTTGAGGGAACCCTAAGTCCCTAAAGCCCTCCAAGTAGGTCGGGTGGTCCTGCTCACCGTCGCCCTGAGTGGCTTCTACTTCCTTGGACGCGTCGGTCCCAGATACCCACTGCACATGGTCCAAGATGTCGTCGGCATTCCTGGGGCTAGGGACCCGAAACCCTAAACCCTAACTTTAAACCCTAAACCCGAAACCCTGAACCCCACACCCTAAATCCTAAACCCTAAATCCTAAACCCTTAAACCCTAAACCCTTGCTTAGGGTGCTGAGGGCCTTGGATGGCTTCGGGCTTAGGATGGCTTCGGGCTTCGAGGGTGTTTTCTAGCGTATGTAGGGGGCTGCTCAAGACCTTGACAGGTCGAGCTTAGGGCCTTTCGGGCCAGGGCTTAGGCCCCACAAAACAGCCCCTTGAGTCGGTTGAGATCTGCAGTCCTACAAGGCTCTAAGGAGGGTTTAGGGTTTAGGGTTTAGGGTTTAGGGAGGTCTTGGGCCAAGTCGCTTAAGGCTTAGGGTTTAGGGTCCAAAGAGAGCGTTTGTCTGCCAAATGCATGGAAGCGTCGTGTAGGGCCCCATGCGCTGCTTCAGCGCGGACTCCCGGCCAGAGAAGCCTGGAGCGCTTGGTTTTGCCGGTTCTTCAGAGTTTGGGCTTTTGGTTGCTTTAACAGAGGAAAGCTGCTACTCCGAACGATGCTTATTGACCTTCCTTCCTGGAGGCAGCAAACCGTCGGGCAAAAAAACTCTCCCAAAAAATAAAAACCTGGCCCGGAAGCATCTTGAGACAGACGGCACCTCTTCTGCCGCGACGAGCATACGCTGGAAGGGTTGGAACGGCGGAAGTCCGGGCAACTGGGGCAACTTCCGCACGATGCGAACGGCTGACACCTTGACGTCTCGACTCGCATGCAGTTGTGCCACGCATTGTCGAGTGCGAGTCTCCCAGATCCGAACACGATCTACATCGCTGCATGACGCGACTCGGCTCCCGTCGCCGGCCGTTGCGCAGCTGTGAACTGCCCCCGTGTGGCCAATGTAAGCACAGCTGTCGGCCGAAAAGCTGGCGGTGGCCAAACTGCAAAGTCCACCATTCCCCGAAGCCACAAAGAGTTCGGATGCCGAGGACCCAGCACTGAGGCCGTGAACTTGTGCTGGCATGGTGCGAGAAAGCAGGGGCTTCCCAGTACCTACGTCCCAAAGACGGACCGATCTGTCCAGGCTGCCTGTGGCAACAATCTGGCGGGGAGTGCTAGTGCCACCCAAAAATGCCAAGGATGTGACAGCCAGTGAGTGCCCGGACCACGTGTGGAAGGGCTTGGCGGCCCCAGCATCGCAAAGGACATCTGCAAGGTTGTACACGTGCACGGCGGAGTCTGCGGATGCGGTGATGAGGAAGCCGCCATCACTTGAGACCAGGATTTGGGTAATCTCCCGGAAGTGCGCCGGCCAGCAGCGTAGGAGTGTCCCCGTGCTCATCATCCAAATGTAGAGCGTGCCGGACAGGGCCCCTGCGAAGCAGAGAGATGCATCCGGGCTGAAGGCCATGGCAGTGATCTTCTCGGGCAAGCTGGCTCGGTAGCTGGGTCGCTTGCTCCAGTCCCAGACTTGCCAAAGGGCCTGGAGGTTGGAGTTCTTCCAGAGAGCTCTGTAGAGTTTGTATTTGAGGGCCAGACGAGCTCGCATATATTCAAGTATCTTCTTGATTTGAGGGGCATTGGGCTCTCTCGGTCTAACATTCAGTGATTTGAGAGGCTTTCCGGGGCTTGACCGAATAAAGAGGATCCCACCATGCCCTAGACACTGTTTGGGTTTCGCATCCAGGGCTTCAGATCTTTCAGGGGTTTAGTTTAGGGTTAAGGCTCTAGGAATTATGAAGTGACCACAACAGCGGAGCCTTGTTCGCCTGCACGGCGTACACATGCTCGCAGCCTGGATCGATGCAGCCGAAGGCATTTGCCTGGACACCGCCAGGATCTTCCTGCTCAGTTCATTCAAAGGGGTTAGGCCCCCCCAAGACTCACCCGCCTAAACCCCCAAACACATCAAAAGCCACCCCCGAACCCTTAAGCCTTAAACCTAAACTGTGCCACCGAGTGTCGAGGTGGGCCACCAGCGCTCCCGAGCGGAGATCGCTGCCAAGAATCCCCTGGTCGCTGGCGGCGAGGACCAGCTCTGCCATCGGATCCCACGAGGACTTATAATCAGGGGGAGATGCCTTTATTATTTAATTTCCCTAAGCACAAAACCCTAAGTAGCCAGCACCCTCTACAAAGAATCTAAGGCAGGTGCCTTGCTTCAATGGGTTCAAGGCATAAGGTTGGCCATATCCGCAAACCTGACATCTTGGTAGGTTGCAGGTAGATAAGAGATTTTCTCACCAGCTGGTACACGGCTTAGGTTGAATGTTAAGTTTAGTCCACACAAATATGTCGTCTTGGGGTCCACACAAATATGTCGTCTTGGGGTGTTGCTGTTGAGGAACTTACATGGTGCTGCCATAATCAGGGACCCATATTGATTACGACTTGTCCCACTGTTTGCGGCAAGCGAACTCTTACAGTATTGGCCCACAGGTTTTCCTCGGGGCTGGGTGTACTTGATTGAGCCAGGAGGAAAGGCTATGAGAAGTGTAAGGTTTAGGGGTTAAAGGATTTGGGGCTCGATCCCGTAAGTCCTCAAGCCTAAACCCTAAGAATGTGCCAAAACCCCCGGGTCCCTGAACCCTCGCCTGTCTCTTTGCCGTAAGAAGCGTCGAGCCCATATATGGGCCCTCAAACTCAACCCTCAGCCCTACAAGCCCTGAACCACCTCCGCCATCCCCTGGCTAAATACATCTACATCACTTAAACGGTCAATCCTGGACGCCCCCACTGCGAAACGCTTCTTGGAGCATTGGAACTTTGCAGTTTTGGGGTCTGAATGGGCATGGGGCTTATAGGGTTTTGCTGGCATGGATGTTGGGTTTAGTGTTTGTTGGGAGTGGATGTTGCTGTTGAGGTGCTGTTTCTGCTTAAGGTATTCTCCCCTCGGAACCACACAAGTAAGTATTCGTTACATAGTTAAGCAGGCCTTTAGGAATATGATCCCTTAGGAGACCATTCGACGAAAGGAACCCTTTGACCCTTTGACCCTTTGACCCTAAACCCCAAACCCCAAACCCCAAACCCTAAACCCTAAACCCTAAACCTAACCCTAAACCATGAACCTAACCCTGAACCCTTACACGAACATGGGGTCGGAACTGTGCGACCTTTCGTGTTCTTCTTCTCCAGGTCCGCCTGCCAGCCCGAGGTTAAGAACCCGACTGAGTTTTCTTTTGTAGGGCTACCAAAGAATTCCGTAGCTGACTTTGCAGTAATTAATAACAAGCAGGTATGGGGGTTGCTTACAAGCCCTGAACTTAAACACAGCGCAGCTTTAGGGCTCCGCGCCCTCACCCTCCCCCACATAAGCCAACATTCTCATGCCGGGTGTGAATGGAATTCGATTGTAACTTCAAAACCCTAAACCCCAAACCCCAAACCCCAAACCCTAAACCCGAAACCCTAAACCCCAAACCCTAAACCCTAAACCCTAGATTTGCCCGTCGAAGCTGAGCTTGGACCAGTGGATTGCAATCGAGTTCAAAAGCCACCCCCCCCCCATCATTTCCAGTTCATTGGTGCTCGTGGGGAGTAAGGTCGATTTCTAAGCCTCTCGGCTGTCCATGTATGGGCATCTGGAAGCCGATTTCGAAATGATTCCCCCAATGTTCTAGGTGTTCTTGTCCAGCGCCTGAAAGGATGGAGCTTTGACTTCCTTCTTCCTGCTGGTGTCGGTTTCGCGGACTTAAGGGGAGAGCGGGAGCTGGTTGGAGTTGGACCTGCGATTGGTCGGCAAGGAGTATCCGGAGCATCAATGCTCCAAAGGGTCGGGCGGCACGCACAGCATCTGGTTTAAGGTGGAGGTTTCGGGGCCCTTGGGGAGGTTGGGCCCGATGCACACTGGAGACCTTGCGATGCCTGTATTTTGGGGCGACATCATAGATATGGACCTGGCTCTTTGTGGCCCGGAGTTTCTGATCGCTCGCAAAACGTCTCCCAGTTCTTCTCCATCCAGGATGTGGTTGCGAAGGTTCTCAGCCATTCAAGGGCCATTCAAGGGCTCTTTGCAATCTGTCGACTTCGACATCCCCGCCGGGACAGGATGCCTGTTCACCCGCCCGTCTGCGGGTCACGCGCGGCAGAGTCATCCCTGGGAATGCTGCACCTGTGCAGGAATGTCTTGCAACTGCTTGGAGGCAAGCGCAATCCAAAGCAGCGACTTGCGTGTGCAAGTTCTATGTCTCGCAGTAGCTCAAGAACAGGTTCAGAAGTTCTCGTTCTCCGCTGTTGACAAACAGAAGCCTGCCGCAATTCTGCGAAAGCGATGGAAGAGTCTTCTTCGGCTACAGCAAGCCCAGCGGGCCGATGCAGCCCAACAAGAGGTCTTCACGATTGGTCTGGTACGTGGAGCCCATGACAAAGCAACTCAGCCCGGAGTCTGGGCGCCTGCAGGCCACATGCTCGTGGATGATGCGAACGCAAGCTGGAGGATCCGCAGGAATTTCTCCATCTCAGGCAAAGTGTCGACAACTCCCGGTCTTGGGGCCTGCCTGCCTGATCGTCGCTGGTTCTTCAATTCATTGACATCCGGACGATGTTACAGGAATCTACAGGCGCCCCATCCAGGTAGCAGACAAGTTAAACAGGTTTTTGTAGCTGCGAGCATCACATCCTCCCTCTCCCCCCTGCATTGCTGACCTCACGAAGCTACAGACATGGAGGCCTAGGGTGCAGAGCCTCCTCCCCAGAGAAGATCCGATTTCTGGGTTCAGCAGACGACGGGTCACATCGGTTTGAAGCCTAATTCAAGAAATCTGAAAGTCGACTTGAATCGATTTTAATCCGGCCGTTAACTGGCATGGATTAAACAAATCTCTTTTAGTTGCTGAACGAAACAGCGGATTAACATTTATCCTAATTTGCTTCTTTGTGCCTGTGCATTAATTTCAGTCAGTTCGAATTGCAAGTGGTTTGATTGGGCTGGGTTGATGGTGTGCTGGCCGGCACGGATTGAACTTGATTTCAATACAGCCAGGAGCTCGCCATTCTCATGCCAGAATAGAGTAAGTCTCTCACTACAGCAGCTTCTGTGTCTAAACACATTATGAGCACAGTCGTTCTCATATAAAACCAAAATCAGAATTGAAGCTATCCTAGACATATAGACCAGCAAAAAACAAATAAGTACACATCACCAAGCAAAGAAACTATTCCCAATAAATAAAAGTACATCTGTATGTGTATATATATATATATATATGTATGTGCAGACAAACACACACTTTTGTACACTTGTGGATACCTAGCTTATACTTGTTATGTTTCATATACTTGCTGATACTTACTATAGATGTATGTGTATATTTGTGAGGTACATTTCCGACCTAGGCTTCTCTTGGCACGCACATGTATTTTTTCATAGCCGGGGTGGTGTTCGCCATGCCTCTCGCTCGAGGCACAGCGCGACGATGTCCGTGTAGCCTGTTGAGGGAGACAGAGCTGGAGAATTTTGACAGACCCGAGTCATGCAGGTTACAGAGTAGTGATGTTGCAGCTGAACCCTAAGTCCTTAAGCCCAAACCCTCGACTGCGATGTTTAATGGTACAACGGATTGCCTGCACTCATTTTTTCTGTCTGAAAAGCCAACCAACTCAGCCCAGCCTGCGATTGCAGCAAGAGTCAACACCTGGTGTCAGCGGATCTGACACGGAAGCTGTCTCTTATGCAAATCCCCCGAGGCATCTGCACGACAGCTTGAATCCCTTCAGCACTGGGCTTGCGGGCGGTGTCTCCCAGCTTGTCCTCGGCGCACGGATGTGAATCCAAGTCAACCAAAGGCTTGCATTTGGCTTCAGTTCGTCCGAAGGCATGGCTCGAAGTTGATAGGGCTTAGGGCCACAGGCAAACCCTAAACCCTTAAAACCTGAACCTCCTAAACCCCAAGCCCCCTCAACATCCCCGCCTGTATATTTATGAACTCCTCCATATCCACGTCGGCCTTGACCGCAGCAATGGCCTGAAGACGCAGCGGAAAGTGAGAACTGACAGCATGGATCTCGCCCTCCCACTTGGAGGTTCATGGGTACTTAGAAGTAGGGTTGTCAGAAGTATGGTAACTCCGCTTATAACCAAATTTGGGGTACTTGTTACCCTACTTTGGTCTACCCATGAGCCTCCAAGTAACCACCAATATTTTTCTGTGAGGCTGCTGGATTGACGTGAACCATGCATGCCCGCAAGGAAGCCGAAGACGTTGACTAGCTGTGCGGTGCAAGACATCGAAGGTCCTCACAGTCTTCACGTGCCTAAAGAAACAACCAAGTGCCCAGAGTGGACTACAGTGAATGCACAACTACAGCTGCCCCATGAAGTGCAGCGCCCCAAAAACCGAGACTCAGAGTCGCTTCGTCTAGGGTTGCGCCGGGGCAGCACCACGCAGTGCAAGTTGCTGCTGCATTTGTTTGGAAATTAGATGGTTCGTGGAGCTTACAGCGCAGAAGATGATCAGGGTTTGGGGCTTCTAGAACTCAGATATACGGGTTTCCCGAAACTAGGGCTACCTTGTTGGGGTCCCTGTTTTGAGGGAATCCTACTATTGGGGGTCCATATTCGGGGTCCCCAATCTTCGTAAACCTCCATATAGGGTTTAGGGTTGAAGCCTTCCATCGAGATCCCATGGCCTCTTGAAAGAGCTCGGGATCTCCAGCCAAGGCGATGTAGTGCAGAATGGTACCTGGCGGCTTTTAGGTAGCCTTGCCCCGCGGATCTAGAGCCAAAACGCCAAAGCCGAAAGCATGAGTGCCCAGCGTGTGAAAGTATGGCCACCAAAGCAGCAAGGCGCCCATGAGCCCCGGACTACGCAGTCCCCCGTAAGGACGTATAACCCTAAAGTCAGGGCTTTCTGCATTAACAATTTAAGGGTCGTCAAGATATCAAATAGGAATCGGGAAGTTGTATTGGCGAGGTCAGGGTGTGCGAAGCCTCCTGGTGTTGGGAGGCTTGAGGTTTGAGAAGACTTGGGGGTTTTAGAGGACTGGGGATGTGGTCGGTCTACGGGTTTAGGGTTCAGGGATTAGGGTTTAAGGGTGCGGGTGTAGGGCGTAGGGTTTAAGGCCAAGCCCTCTAAATCCCAAAAATCCCTAAACCCTCACCCTAAAGGCTTAAGGGTGAGGGTTTAGGGTTTTTAGGGATTTAGAGGGCTTGGGAAACAGTCGTTTGAAGGGCTTAAGGGAGGGGCACGGCCGTACTTGCTGCAGCGACCTCGCGCGCCGCCTGTCCTCAGTCTTCCGTAGACCCCCAAAGTACTCTCCGGGTGCGCGCCACATTAGAAAAGGGGGGGGGCCTTAAGAAGTAGAATGGGTGATTATAGTATAAGGGTTAAAGGAACCATAAGGAAGTACTATTTGTAGTTCTTCCGACCCCTATATTACCTGTCGGTTCATGCCCAAAACCCAAAACCCCACATTTTCGTGCCCTAACTTTCAGCTCTAGGGCGGGTTACGCAACTGAGGGCTCTAACATAGTTTCAAGTCTCAGGTTCCGTTTTTTAGGGTATGGGCTTTGGGGCTTGGGGTTTGCGGGTGCGCACCCTGTTGCGAAGTTAACATACAGATTCGGGAGCCAGCTACATGTGCGTCAACCAGGAAACGGCATTCCGTCATAGAAGCCCGCCTTTTTCGCGAGGGCCCCACGAAACATCCACAGTCTAGCAGCAGAAAACAGAAGCAGTAGGTCTCGGCGTGGGAAGCCCCACACTGTTAACATTCAACCAGCCTCTTCACCTCCCCAAACCCTCACTCTCCAGCCAGCTCGTCTTTGGGATCCAGACTGCTTGGCCTCAATGTACTTGGCGAGTCGGTTCACTTTGCGCCTTATCTCTGAGAAGTCTCAGTTGGGGCTTGGGTTTGGAATTCATTTCCGTCTCGTGTTTTTTGCCGGTTTCCAGTTTTATTTTGAACCTCACTATCTCTTCTATATTTACCATTTCCTCTATGCTTCAAGAGGCAACTCTCCATCTCCTCTTTATTAAAGTAAGTTGGAAATCCATCTCCATAAGGAAATTCCACATGTATTGGTTGTTCGTGGGAAGGCGGTGCTTCATTTTTTACATAACCAGAAAACTGTTGGGGCTCCGCGAAAGTGCAGGTAACTTGTGAAGGCCCCGGGAGTTTTCGTTTTGTGCTGCAGACATGGACATACATTGGGACGTTCCCCCTTATGCTTACAGTCCTTAATGGGGATTTTCATAGGGGGTGCTATAACCCTTATTTAGGACTGCTGGTATAGGGGGGGGGGGACATCCCATGCAGACCATATTGTTCCACCAGTGGCTGGCGACTGGCGCAACTGCTCGAGTGCCCGGATGAACCGCGGTAAGAAACGACAAGCCAACTTGCCAGTCATTCCAGAGCCTTAAATGGTCACTCGAACGGGTTACGAAGCATAATCATGGCGTACGTAACATGTTGACATCTGAGGAATATAGTCCCCACGAAAGCTCCCGAAAGTAGCCGCGAAAGACGTTGCACTTTCCGCGAAAAGAACGTCCGTGTGCGCGTGAAAGAATATGCAACACCTGCCAGATGTCGTTAACTTGTCAACGTGGTTTTGACATATCCTTTCGTCTCCTTTTTTGATGCTTATCAGAACTCGCGAAGCCTGCCAGGCGACCTGAAGATCATGTTCGGGCAAACTGTGAGAGAGACTCCATGGCACTTACTCAAAGCAGCCGCAGCAGACGTAAGAGCAAAACCAAGAGAATGAGCAACACTAGAGCTGCTGCCACGACAGGAAGTCAAGAGCAACCGCAGAGCATGACGTCGGAACTTTCGCGAAACCCAAAGCTCCGCAACCAAAAACCTCCTACAGTCAAGCATGTAAGCCTCCAGGTCAGATTTAGGCCTTCGGCGTGTAGAAGCTGACACCAGCCCCCTAAACCCTCAACCCTAAACCCGCAGCCCTAAACCCCCCTCCAGCCTACTAGCCCTAAACCCTAAACCTTAAACCCCAAAACCTTAAACCCTAAACCCTCAACCCTAAACCCTAAAGCCTAAGCCCTGGCTCATGCCAGGGTGCCACTTGATCCGATACTCGCGATCTTCAGCCTTGAGGAAAGGCTGGATCCGGCCCTGGGCCACAAAGAACGCACACCGGGAGGGTTTAGGTTTAGGGTTTAGGGTTTTAAGGTTTAGGGTCTGGGATGGTGGTTTAGGGTTTAGGGTGTTTAGGGTGGTTTAGGGTGGTTTAGGGTTTAGGATTTAGGGTTTAGGATACCGGGAGTGGGATCTCGGGTTTCATTAGGGTTTAGCGTTTGTACGCACAAAAAAGCCCTGAACCCTATACCATTTATGCGAAAGACAACCCTGAACCCTGCACCTGACCGTGCATCCCTTCAAGTCCGAGAGACATGGTGACTGTACCTAACCCCTAAACCCTAAACCCTGTATGGGTAGCACAAAGCAGGCACCCCACCTCTGATCCCCTCCCCAACACCCCGATGGCAAATTGGCACCCCTTTATTTGGGGTTTTTTGCCTGGAATGGGTACCCGCCCCCGCCCCCCCACCCTCCCCCCTGTGCAGCAGGACCAAGGCCCCCCCCCCCACCCCTCCAACCCCCCCCCCCGCCCCTCACCTTGATTTCTTTGGGTCCCTTCCAACTAGTTACGTGCTCTTCTTGCTGCGTCCACTCTTTGCCTCCATGGTTTCAGGGCTCAAGCTTCAGGCGCTTTCGCCATGTGTACTTGGACGAGATATGTCCCCCCCCCCCCCCTAGGCGACACAAGCTCCTCGCAGCTGCGCAGGCCCGGCCGAGGCGGGTCGCGTAGCGTTAAAAACAAGTAGGAATTGAAAAATATATGGTACCCCGCCCCAACAAAAAGACCTACCATCTTAAAGAGTCTTGAAATGGCAAAACCCCACAGCTGAAGACTGAAGCGAAAAGTCTTGGGGAACCTTCAACCTTCAGTCTTCCATGCAGACTTTGAGAACTCCATTGCATCAAGCTTGATTCCCAAAGACGTGTTCGTGGAATCTTCGACTTTCCCCCATGAATTCAAGATTTTAAGTCTCTTCCAAACCTCGAACTCAGAATTGAAGATCGCACATGTACATATCTCATGCAAACGTATGGACATGCGTGCGTATATATATATATATATATATATAGTATATAGATATGTATACACCGCTTTACTTACATGTACACTTTGAATTGTTCTGCCCGGTGTATATATGTAAACGTGTATATACATAGTGTGAGTTCGCACATATATGTACAAAACTATAGAAGTCTGCCCAGAACCCTGAGGCCAGAGAATTTGAAACCTTGGGTGTAGTGGTTTGGCTAAGTAGGCTTTCGGGTCGAAACTCGGAACAGCAGAGCAACTGGGCTCAGGGTGTAAGGTTATTTAAGGGCTTAATTTAAGGTCCAGGGCATCGGTTTGGGGGTTGAGGGCTTGGCGGCGTAGCAGTTGGGCGCCCGGCGGTCCACATGTGCTCCCCATCGATCTGGCCGTCGGGGTTTTAGAGGGTTCAGGCTTTAGACGGTATCTGAAACACCAGCAAGCCACGAATGGAGTTCTAAGAGGGGTAGGGGTTACGCCCACTTGTAGCCAGCTTCAGCTCTTATGGCTCCATGAACTTGAGATTAGAGTTTCGCCTTGAAATTCAGGTTGGTTGAAGGGTTAGCGAGCCTGGGTGTGTCCAGCTTCAGAGGACCAGCCAAACCTAAGAAAAGGGACAAGACAGAGCCAGACCTAGGCAGCAAACAACACCGGACCCCCCCACCCCGCCCCACCCCAACAACAAATATCCTCCTGAACCCGCTGGACCCACGCCACCTGCAGCTGCAGCTCCTTGAAAGGGCAGCCTGCGACATTGCACCCGCCAAGAGCTTCCGTGAATTGTGCAGCAGGTCTTGGTGGTGAACGCTTGAAAGCAAGAAGATGTGGATAGCATAAGTGCATGTCATATCCATCTGTCTATCAATCTATCTAACTATATACATGTATGCATATATGTATATACAAATAAGACTGTGCATACATTTGCATGCACCTGGACCTAGAAATGTGCTCCGTCTCTCTCTCTCTCTTTCTATCCCTCCCTCCCTCCCTCCCTCTCTATGCACAAACCCAAGTATAAGTAAGTACAATGTACACATCCACATACACATGCGCATAAACATACACATGCACATGCACGATTTCATAAACTCCTGTATTCATTCGCGTACACATACGCATTCACATTAACATACACACAAGCATACACATTATGCACGCATTTGCACGCACACTATCTAAACATATAAAATATGTAGTGCATATATATATATATATGTATGTGTATATATACATATATATATATATGTACGTTGGGGGGGGGGGCTGACCATACATATATATATATATATATATATATATAGAAATCTATCCATATATATGTATATATACACATATAGATACACACATGCATAGTGATGATGGGCGATTCTTCTGCGCCACGGCCCCGGAGTACGGGGGCACCCACTTAGGCAGCGCACCAACTTTGGCGCAGGTGGCCCTCCGAATTTCCGTGATGGACAGCTCTTTTGGGATGAGAGCCTGCCAGCATCAGATGCAAGGGATTTAGGGTTCTAGGGTTTAGAGAGCCTAGGGTTTAGCCCGAAACCCTCATAGGGTCCATGACGCTTCGAATTAATTCATGGCCGGAGGTCGAGATAAGACCAACTTGGAGCAGACGGTACCCAAAGAGACCAAAACCCCTTAATTCAGGCATATACCTTCAACCATAGCAAGAGCCAGGACCTAGAAATATTCCTTACTTGTGGGCTCTCTGGGTACCCTAACCCTGGCCCCAAACCCTAAACCCATCGATATCATTCGGATGCGGAAAAGGAGACCAAGGGTTTGAGGCGCCTGAGTGGCCGAAAGTGATACAAGTTTCTCTTCTTCTGTGCTAAGAAAAAACTTCAATTATCAGGTACCTGATTCCCTTCGACATCTGGATACGGTCATGTAAACTTCCAAACTCCCTATCGCCGAAGCTGGGAAGACCCGTTTCGTCGTTGGCGTCATGGGGCTGCCAACTTCTACCCTAACCCCTGGCCGACCCTCAACCCTCAGGCCTGAACCCTCCACTCCTACGCCCCTAAACCCCAAACCCTAAACCAGAACCACCAACCCCTAGCCCCCGAAAGCCAGGGCGGGGTTGCGAGGTTCTGGGACGTCGCGTATTTTCTTTGGGTTGGGGGGCGGGGTGGGGAGTTGGGGCTAGGGTTTGGGGGTTAGGGCCCCTCAGCCTCATCCCCAAACCCAGCTTGAACAGTTCTCGTGAATCCACCTTCACACATCGGAACTTCTCGACGGTCTTCGAGTTGACCAGGGCCACCTGGCAGTTGGTTTGGAGGTTGCGGGTTGTAATCCCAAAGGCGGGGGGGGGGGGGGGGGGGGGCATGGTAGGTTAGAGAGACTGCATGGCATCTACTTTGACATGTGCGTCGGAAGACCATCCGATCTTTCAGGAACCGATCTTTCGGACCTAGATATACTACTTGGAGGCTCATGGCTGAGTAGGGTTCTAAGGAGGGTTACCATGCTTATACCCCTATTTATAAAACCGCCCACGAACCTCAAAGTAGCCCTAAACCCTAAACCCTAAACCGTAAACCTTAAACCCTAAACTCCCCCCTTTTGCACCCACAGCCGTCTGCCGTCAGGCACCCACACGAGGCCCTCGGGAGTGTCTTTTTTCTTCTTTTTCTCCTCGTCCTGGGACAACGAAAGTAATGTGATCTCACCCCAAGCGCTAAACCCTATGAAGCCCTAAACCCTAGCCCTAAACCCCAAAACCCTAAACCCTCAACCCTGCCACTCTACTCTCCCATCATCTCATGGCCAAAACGGCCTAGGTCAGACTCGTCGGTGTAGAGCAGGCCATACCCGAACTACAACGACGGTTCCCCCCTTGCTTTACCAGAAGAGGGCGTTGGGTTAACAAGTGCACGCTTTAGGGCATGGGTTTTAGGAGCAGAGCTGCAGATAGAACCCGGCTTTCCCAGTTAAGGAGATTGAGGAGGGTAAAAAATCACTAGCTGCCCCCATGTAAGGGGCATACGACTTACGCGCAAGGCCACGTGGGGAGAGCAAAGCTGAGCTAGCAAAGAAAGGCTGTAGTACCCAGAGCCCGAATTAAATAGCTCTAAACTCAGGAATACAACTTCATTCAGAATAAGGATCCCAGTATCGTCCTTAAATCACCAAATCCTGAACCAAGAAGCTAAGAGCGTGTGGGTTCTGTCGCACCGTGACATCTCAACAGCCCGGAACCCTTACTTGTTTGTAGGTTACCTAAGAACCTTAAAACTTTTTACAACCATAGCCCAAAACAAAAAAGCGGGCTTGCGGTTTCTTAAGGCGCGCCGTGGAGTGTCTGGGCCTCGGACTTATTTACAGGGAGTGGACATAGAATCGCCACTGAGAGACCACTACCCCGTATGGAAGGAACCCCAAACCCTAAACCCTAAACCCAAGTGAACCAGGATCCTCACCCAGTCCTCGTCGTCTATGTTGACAGCCTCCCCCTCCAATGCGGCCACTTCCTCGACCGCGGGCCTCGCTAGGAAGCGGCGTGTGTGGCATTTGCAAAGTCAGGGGCTTTCAAGATTGTGGGCTCGTCGGGCTTGATGGTCCCGAAAGGCAGCGGGGGAAAGCAGACTCGGCCGTCAGTGCTGGTGAAGCAGCGAAGCCGCCACTCAACTGGCTGGCACTGCTGGTCAGTAAAGCACCTATCCTAACCCTTCACTCCAGAATCCCTAGGCCAAAGCCAAAACAACCTGAAGCCCAAACTTTGCACCCGCAAAGCCAAACTGCATCAACAAGAAGCCCTTCAGCCAAAAGGCATGGCCGTCCTACTGGATCCAAAACCCTCAATCCCGAAAGCCACCCCAAAACCCCTGATTCGTGGGTAGTTACAAGTAGGGTTCTAGAGTTCCCTGAAATTGGGTTATAAGATGTTATAAGTATAGCTACCATACTTATAGCTTCCCGTGAACCTCCAAGTAGGAAGCTGTACAGCCCCATGCATCAGCCTCAATCCCTATGAACTCCTTTTTCCAACCCCGATGAATGCCCCGAGAAATCCCCAACCCTCGACCCGACATCCTGAATCTCCAATCCCTCCTTGGCCGCCGCAGACAACCCTCACGGTGCTAAAACCGTCGTTTTTCGCACATCTTTGCGGGCGCAGGTCCCCTAAACCCTAAACCCTAAACCCTAAACCCCTTCCCCCACCCTAAACCCTAAACCCCAAACCCTAAACCCCAAACCCACACCCAGGGTTTTTCACTTCCCCCAACCCCGCGGTCTCCGAGACGCCCGCGGAGATGCCTCGGCGACTTCTGGAGACTCGGAGGCCTCGGTATCCGGGGTGTCCAAAAGTGACCATGGGCTTAGGGTTTAAGGTTTTTAGGGTTTAGGGTCAGGGTTTTTAGGGGTTTTCGGGGTTTTTAGGGCTTTTTGAGGTTTTCAGGGATTTTGCAGATGGTATTACAGGTTTTTTGGGTTTACGAGTGTAGTGCCTTGGTTAGGGTTCCACAGCTTTAAAGGTGGAGTTTGGAGCTGTCAAAGGTGTGTTCGACAAGGGAAGTGCAGCCGATCCCATGTGGGTGCTGCCCCCCATAGTTAAGGTTATTTTGGGATAATTAAGCTTACTTAAGGCTATTTAACGGGGGAGCGTAGAGGGGTAGTACAGAGGGGGGTAGAACCCCTTAAGTTGGCCCCCAAACCCCGAACGCCAAGAACCCAAAAGCCACCCATAATATCTAGGGATCGGCCCTAAATCGCATAGAAACATAAACCCTGAACCCCGACTTCGGAGTAGACCTTGGAGAAAAAAATGTTTATTATACTTTTTGGTATAAGTAGCTGTAATGGGAACCCAGAACCAAAACAAGTGTTAAAGTACAGAACTCCAAAACCCGATTTCCAGAGGCTTACCAGGGCCCAGGCTTCGCCCGCAGACGTCGGAGAGTCTTCGGGCGGCAAGAGCGTTTCGGCAAGGCTTGGGCTCAGGTCCTTCTCCTCATCACTGCGCTCTTCGGCGTGGGTGCTCATTCTCCTGGCAGGGCGGTTTCGGTCTGGGACCGCGAAGCCCTAAAGGCCCTAAAAGGCTCGAAGCCCGAAAGAGTCTAGGAACGAAACCCCCCCCCCCCAACTCGTCCTTCAGGAGGATGCAGCTACGCTTGCCGCGCGAGGCAGCACATGAGATGCTTCTCATTCGTCGGTTTCAACATGCATACGAAAGTGCTGAAAACTCTGGGACAAACAGAGCAGCCTTGGCTAACCGATCCAGGCCAGAATCCCTATCCCTAACCCTAAACCCTAAACCCTAAACTGCCGGTAGCCCTTTAGCCAGGTTGAGCGCTGAGGATTCAAGGCTTTAGGGCTCTCTCTGCCATAAGCCTAAACCTAAAAGGTCACCAGCAAAAAATCTTGCTGTTTGCCCTGCTTGCTCTGAACAGTGGGCTGTCTTGAATTCGATACGGCTGACAAAGGACTGGACTTGCACGCGGGGTGAGGCTACGACGGGGTGAACACTCAGCTGGATCCCGTTATGTTGAGGACGGAAAAATAAAGCGAAGCTTAACCTTGGGACCAAGTATGACTACACTACACTCCTACAATCTTGGTTGCAGCAGATGGACCAAATGGCATGTCAGGGTTCAGCCCCAGGTATAGCCAATACAACTAAAAATACCGCACTCCAACCCCAGCCCCTTGACAAGGACAACCTCATGCAATCTTTCATCATCCTTCGTAGCCCTGAGTCCACCCTCATGGCATTTCAGAAACTCAGTGGCTCTCCAAGGGATTCAAACACGCAACCTTGGCGGTTTCAGGATTCGCCCCAAAATCTCCAAAAAGCTACGCCCCAACATGCCCGGCCATCAAGGGGTACAGGTTTTTCATAGGGCTTGTCCGTGCTATGCCTGAAGGTCAGCTGAAGCTTGCAAGTAGAAATTGCAGGGCTTGGAGGTTCAGGGATGTTCAGGGAAGGCGGCGCAATAGAAGGTTTAGGGCTATAGGGGTGCCGCCGTCTACCTGCTCCCTTGAAACGGTTTTGAAACAAGCGCTCTCTGCCGCAATCCGTCTGTCCAGCAAATGGTCTCGCGGCTTCGGACTTGGGGTAGCTGCGGTGGTCAGGGACATGAGGTTAGGTAAATTCGGAGATGGTGGTGGCTCGAAACGGGAGCAGCTGCCACAGGCTCGTCTTGTGCTCTCGCTTGTGCTCTCGCTTATTTTTCTCGATGGCTCAGTTGCATGGCCTCTGGGCTGCCTGCGTGTTCAGAGTCAGTCCTGAGGCCTGAAATGCGACTAAGCATGCGGGGGTCTAGCTCAGGCTCTCTACGCTCTGTGACCCATGACCTAATATGCGGACCTTAATAATTAGAATAGGTTTGTGGGGGTACAGTATATGCATAAAGGGGGCCATAAGGGAATGCTACTAGTAATTCTTCCGAGCCCTATACCCTAAACCCTAATCCCTAAATTCTAAACCCTACATTACAGCAGAAATTATGGGGCCCTAAACCCCAAACGCTAAACCCTAAACCCTAAACCCTCTACTCTGCACCATGCCGTGGGAGCTCGAGAGAGCACATGGCACATCCTGGCCCAGATATTATGCACAAAGGGCCCCCGAGGTCAGCTGCCAAAAAGCTCCTCCTTAAATCCCAAGTTGCAACTGAGCTTGGGTTTGTAGGTTCTTCAAAACCCTAAACCCTAAACCCTAAACCCTAAACCCTAAACCCTAAACCCTAAACCCTAAACCCTAAACCCTAAACCCTAAACCCTAAACCCTACATGACCAGGAATAAAGCTTCGTCGCTCTTGACAAGACAAAGTTGACGGAGGATAGCGGAGTACTGCATCATGGTTTTGTCCTAGCCCGGCCAGCGGAGGAAGTAATCCACCGGAATAAACTTATACTATTCTTATTGTTCCGGAGGAGGACCCTGCACTTGGAGTGCAGGAGTCTAAGGGGGAGAGAGTTTTTTCTGCTGTCTTCGTGTGCTATGTTGTGAGTGCGACGAACTTTCGGCCTGCCGCAGTAAACCCTAAACCCTAAGCCCTAAGCCCTAAGCCCTAAGCCCTAAGCCCTAAGCCCTAAGCCCTAAGCCCTAAGCCCTAGACCCTAACCCTCAGGCCGGAAATTTCCACACAAAATCGAAGGATAACCTCCCCGATTTCAGCAGCTGCTTGGCTGAAAGGCCGTGCGCCGACGTCCCTCGGGGCAAGCCCGAGGAACCGAGGCCCAGGGTCCCCAACCCCCAAAGCCATATAGACCCTTAACCCCTAAGTAGGGTTTAGGGTTTAGGGCGTAGGGTGTAGGGTTTACATTTAGGGTTTTAGGGTTGAACCCTCAGCCGAAGACAGGGATGACAATGGCAGGGCTCATCGGACCATGCGATCCACCTGCATGCGCAGTTGGGGTTTCGGGGTACAAGACTTTGTAGCAGTAGACCTGTACAGTGGCCTAGTAACAACACTCGGTCAGGCCATGTAATTGGATGTTGTGTTTGCTTTGCTGATCGGCGATTGGGTTTTCCCTCCTTAACTTAAGAGATGTGGGGGGGGGGGGGGGGGGGGTGGGTATTATCGGTATAGATGGATGTAGGTATAGCTATAACTATATGCTTGTTTACGCTTGCTGTAGTGCTTCTTCATATGTGTTTCCAACAAAAACGTTGCCAAGCAAAGACCTCCACAAACTGTCTCTCAAGCCTCCAAGCTTCGGCGGGGTGACGAGGCTGCTCCCGCTTGGCAAAAGCTTCACGGGTTGTTCCCTGAGCGGCAGGGCGGACCCTAAGCCCTAAAACATGGAAACCCTTAAAGGCCCTAAACTCTAAGCCCAGAACTCTAAACTTTTGAACCCGAAGCCCTAAAACCCTGTAATCTTTGAACCTCAGCCCTGTACCCTAACCTTACTTGGAGGTTCATGGGTAGGTAGCTCTGATCGGTAGGGTCATCGTCCTGGCAACTGGAACCCTATCTCGGGTACATATAAACCTACTTCTAACTACCCAGGAACCTCCAAGTAGTAGCCCTAAACCCTAAACCCTAAACCCTAAATAACCATAAACCCAGTCCACAGCCGAAGCAGCTGAGGCTGCTGCAGAGCATGGCTTGAAAGCAGCGGCGCACCTTGGAAGTCTGACCTGCAAAAGAGGCATACGTACCTTACGGACGAAGTTAGGGTTAAGGGTTAAGGGTTCAGGGTTCAGGGTTAAAGGGTTTAGGGTTTAGGTTCAGGGTTAAGGGTTAAGGGTTAAGTGCATAAGGTTCAGTGGGAATGGGGTTTAGGGCAGAAAGACTCCTCTTAAGCCCTTTGAAAAACCGATTCTGCAACATAATGCAACATCCCAAAGGCCTACTTGGACCCGTTACAAGGCGCGCCCTCGGGGGTACAAAGGGGCTTTCTGGGGCCACTTAGGTAGATAGCCTTTATGCATGATAATATCAGGTGTAAAAGTACATCATGAAGCCAATAGATGTGAACACAACAAGTACAAACACACATGTAAATATGGATCAATCACCAAGAAACATCGGCATGTATACAAATACTGCATGTACCCGGGTGACAGGGCACTATTGCTGTCCTTGCTGTGATCCACAAGCAGTTGTGCTGACCGACCTGGCCAGCAACGCTGTCTCTCCAAGTCCTCTGCGCAAACACCTGCGTGGCACTGGGGTTCAGGCTAGGGTTCAGCCGGGCCTCCCGTGCAAATTAGCAGCCCTCACTCCAAACAATACCCTTGGCTGTACAGTTTCTGAAATCCGCAGCTTGGTCTCTGAAGTCCCCCATGTCCCCGTCTCTCCAACACCCCGCGCTCTGAAACCTCCAAAACTCAAACCCCTAGGTCCGTACGCCTCTACACACCTCAATGATACCTCCAAAACCCCAAGCACCCAACCCATCCGCACAACCTAAACCAAGGACCCCAAACAACAAAAACTCCCAAAAACGCCCTCCATCCCAAACCTCCCTAGGCCCCTAGGCCCTGAACCACGATAACCTGTAAACCCCAAGCTATACTACACTCAGAACCCTGGCATGAACCATAATGCTGTGCTGTTTCTTTGGTAATACAAAAAAAGCATGATCAAACTATGTTAACAGTACCCTGAGCAAGTCCTCCCAAAAACAACCTACACCGTCAACCCCTCATGCCTCAAACCCAAAACCCTTACCTTAGGCCTTGAACAGAAAACCCTCAACCTTTATTATGGGGGCCTGGATAATTAGAAGAGGCTGTTGAGGGGTTATTATAGTATAATTCTGTAGGGACCATAAGGGAAGAATACTAGCCATCGACCCGGATATTAGGCCCGAAATTCTCGCCTTCGCCGAGCATGGGAGCTCCAAGACCACCCTCCTGCAGACACTTGCTTGGGTTTCTTGGGGGCTCGTAGGATTCGATACTCTATCCTATCCCCTTTAACAACGGAGAGGTTTAGGGTTTTGCATAGAGTTTGGGGTTGTGTGGGGTGGGCTTCCAAGTTTTCTTAAGTTGCTGATTTTTGTTATCATGTTTTTCAGAAGGTGCATTTGGTTAAGGGCCGCATTCTAGAGGTCTTAGGATGTCTTAGGGTTTCGGAGCATTTTTCAAACTAGAGAACAGAAAACCTATTTTTTGGGAGGCAGGGGAGGGGGGGGGGGGGCTGTTGTTGCATATCGTACCTGCGACCCGCCGCCTGGGCTAAAGAGTGAGGGAATGGAGGATATCGAGGATATGGAGGGTATGGAGGGTTTAGGGTTCAGGGTTTAGGGATAACAGCAGCTACATGGTGGACTCGAGGGTTTGGGGCTTAGGGGCTTCGGGTTCAGGGTTTGAGGCTTTTAGAGATGACTGAGTGCTTCAACAGCTCCACACCCTGGAGCCTGAATCTGGAAACCCTAAACCGATGCTCGTTTTTTCTTCTTCATTTTTCAAGTTTGGAAGCTTGAAGGGCTTAGGATTTCCTTTGCCCCAAAAGTACACATAAGATTCGTCCATGCGCCTTAGGGTTACTTAAATTCACTTGGGTTTTGGCAAGTGGGACTATGATTC